ACGAGATGAATATTTTACCAATAAACAGGGTGGCCGGGAAACTCGGCAAACCGATATAGCATTGAATGCACTTGCTTTGCATTTGAAAAACCAACAGCTCAATAAAACATTACAAATCAATATACATAGGCGTTTTCCTGAATTTCTCGGCGCCTGTTCTTCTATTTCTACGTCGACATTCTGTTTTTAACGTTTCAACCAACTTACAGTAAATCTTTTTTAATATGTTTTGGCACATATTAATGTCAAGTCGCAATCGCCCTGCAAATCCAATATAATTGAAACGAAATTATAAATTTATAATCAAAATCAGACAACTGCATATTACAAGAGGCAGAGCAACTTTAATGCATTAATCACAGCTGTCTGCTGTGTCACCAATACCAACCCAATTACAGATGTAGCTTCAAAATCTGAAAATCGATAACTTTCGGTATTTTTGGAGAATGTTTTGTGTAAGTCCACCTTCAAATTTAATGCTATCTTAGCTGTATCAGACTATGAGTTCTAATTCATATCCTGCTTATTTACAATTCCCCAGTATGTGAATGTCCACAAGAAGACCTTGAAGCAGTTCACGTGAAACCCGGTGATACAAAAGTTGATCTCGAATGGAAAGTTCCTGTCCCCAGCTGTCTGAACTGTCCGTCTCCGCTGACTTCCCAGTCGTTGTCTGTGGGCAAACACTCAATGGCGTATAAATACAGTGTTGCTGATAAGTTCAATGTTACTTGCCAAGTCAACGTCGAAGTTAAAGGTGCATGTTTCACATTTATTTGGGGGCTAGGGACGAGCCGACGAGAACTCGTTGTGGGTCCCTGCCATCATGGGCCTCTAAAATTAGAACATTGGACAAAAATATAAATTTTAATTATAAAAATCAAGATTAAGATATTACCGACAATAAAAATTTATATTTTAAAACTCTAAATTTACGAAAATATTACCGAAATTTAACAAATTAGGGTACATTAATTCGAAAGTTACTAAAAATCACGGAATTTTTTTTTACTGTTTTACAATGTTAGGGACAAAAAATTAATTAGCAACTGAAATGTTTCATGTTTGATCCCTTCATCCCCAATCTTGATCCATCCATCACTGGGCCCCATCAGACGTTGCTCATTCATCGTCCTTTTCAAGCCCCCAGCACGTCCCTGGGGGACTACATATAGCTGAGGGACTCCATGTAAAAACGCTCTCTACCCCCATTTGGGCGTTCCTCATTAAAGGAATACCGAATGGTTTTCCGTGCAGGATTGCGTGATCCATGCACGCGGGATGTTGCGAGACTTTCGGAAAGCGTAGAAATACACGAGTCGTAGGCGAGTGTATTTTTACGCTTTCCGAAAGTCGAACAACATCCCAAGTGCATGGATCAAGCTATCCTGTATGGGAAAACCATTCGGTAATTGTTTTATAAAATTACTACAGTGAAACGACGCTTAACTTGATTAAAATTACTGATGAAATGTGCAGTTCTCACATGTAACATTCGTGAATTAACCAATCAGAGAATCGCTACTCCACGCTATTGAAAACAACAACATATGTGAACAGAATTTGATCGCAAATTTGCCAAAAAAATACAGCGAAAATACAGGGACTTTTTCGATAAAATATGCGAAATTTGAAATAGAAAACCCGCTAAACAGAGAGCCAAAGTAGTTTTGAAGATTCTCGACCGGAATATATGAAGATTGCGAAGCGTTTGATCAACTTTGAAGCGAGAGATGTTGTACTTGCACGCCATGGTCTGATAAATTTCAACGCTACGCGTTGCTACTTGCTGAATAGTAATGTTCGATCAGAAATTTATGCATACAACAAAACCAACGTCTCAATAATTGGAATCTTACTTCAAAGTCGAAAGGTATCGTACAATGAAACTTTACAATGCGAGTATATTTGTAAAATTATGTGCAAGAATTTCTGTTCAGAATTTCCCGTGCAGGATTGTCTGATCCTGCACGGCTGTTGACCAATCAAATTGCGTGTTTCACTGTAGTTATTATATAATGGCATTTACCATCTACTGATCAACATCCGTATAGAATGAAATTTCCATGCATACAAGAATTAAATTAAAATTTCAATCTAGATTATGTGTCCCAAATTTTTATTTTCGGTTTGCACACAGATGGTTGTTTGTCGCTTGAATTTGGAAACTGTTTATTGTTCAAAACAATTTCAATTAAAAAAATTGGAACTTACTAAACTTACTGCCTTCCTGTTGTACGGAGGATCAGAAATAAGCTAAACGAAATCTCGTGATCAGCATTAACAGATGTATCCAATATATTCCTTCCTTCGCTTGGAAATATTTTTCAGGCTGCAAGGATGCGTCCTCGAGGTTGCTCGAGGCCAGGGGAGAATATATTACACTTTATTGCACATCCACCTTAACGTAGCTGGAATTTGTATTCTTGCAATTGGTTTAGCAACTTGTATCAAGGAATTTTAAGGGTCAAAGTTTTGGGGATTCGGAGCTGGGTAAGGCCCTCTAGGGAGTCCTGCCCCTCCCTTCTCGGCCAAGAGAGAATGGTGACAAGTATACCGAAAACAACGGTTATTTACCAAATTTTTCTATACGGTAGCTATAATATATTGCCATAATTATAAAGTTGTGCAATTATAATTATAAGCAAGAAAATGCTTATCCTTATAACCGTCAATGTTTTTTTTGTGTCTTAAAAACAGGAACACTTTGCAATGGTCATGGATACAACCAAGTTACTCAAGACTGTTGCTGTGGTGTTATTCATGGCAAGAGGGCTGGATACGCGTGCTGTGGTCCAAATCATTACAATATTTCAACACATCAATGTTGCAATGGTGATAATATCAGAAACATAAAGGAAGACTGTCTAACCTTTTAAAGAACTTTTAAATTCATGTTTAACTGCGTAACGTCTAGTTAAATTCAACAACCAGCATTTGCTGTTTTAAAATGCTTATTACTCTGCATGCTTTCATATGATATCATCAAATGATTCATTGTAGCAAAAACATAGTTTAGCTGATGCAGTTTTAAGAAACTTTCGTGCTATATAAGTAATCTTTCTTGCTATATAATAATTTGTTGTTCGATCAAACGTCGTGTATTAAGGTTTGTGTGGCTTTAATATATAAAACGAAATGATCCATTAAACTTTGCTGATTGTTTTTAATTGTATTGTACAGGGTGTCCCCCATTAAAATGCCTTGTGATATTGCAGCGCCACGCAGCTTTGATAGAATTTTCAGATTTTTTATACTATAGAGAAAGTATTCGTGCTGTCGTTTTAAGCCATTAGTAGTTGACTTATGAAAATAACCAATTATTAATAAGTATTTCTTTAAAAAATATTTTATTCACTTAAGGTGGAGACACCAATAGTTCAACTTGTCCAAATTATAAAAATTAAGTCAAAAGTATTTCGTGCTTTTAATTTTAAATAAGGAGAAGTTTAAATTAAAGAGAATTCATACCTGGCTGTCTACTCTTAAAGTCCGGGTTTGTGGTTCCAAAGATTAATTAAAGTTTTTGTTTGATATAAAAACATTTTTAAATGAGTCTAAATCTTGAAATGGGAAAAATGAAAATGACTTCAAATTTCATGTTTGTAAGCCAAAAATCTGGATAAAAATTCATACGAATACGAGCAAAAAATAATGGTGTAAGACATATAAACAGTATTGATATTTTAGGATACAACATTCAAATGATGAACTTAAGATCAAAAATAATTGATTTGAATTATTTAATTTAATTTTATAAACAAAATTCCTATTATTTGATCTAATTTGCATATTTGAACAAGTCAGAATTTTGTGGTTGCCACCTTATAGAGGATTCTTGAACACATCATGCAAGCGGTTGATTATTTTCATTCGTCAAATAACAATTGATTAAATCGATATGATAGTGTTATTTCATCCCGTATATAAACGTACAGGGCGGGTGAGGGGGGAAAAGGCGCAGTTGCCCCCGAGTTAAAAATAAATTCGGGCAAATTATAAACGTAATTTGCAGAAAAGAAGTCATATGCAATATAGTATTCGAAAATACCGGAAATATCTATAAAAGTAACGTAGTATTGCCACAAATAGCAAAAAGGTTTTCGTGGACCTGCCCCCTTGTCCACAACAATTTTGGAAAGTTTACACAGACAAATTTTTTTCAGTAAGTCGGGCACAATGTGGAAAGTCCGGCGAATTTCTTTCTGTCCCCCCTCACCTGATTTTTTCCCTCCCATACGCTTATATGATCCTGTGCAACGTTTTAATACTATCGAATGTAGTACGGGGCATTTTTTTGGGACATCCCGTATAGCAAAATATTGAGGAATGAGACTAAATATTTGAATGAGGAATTGTTTCTGAGTTTTTGTGGTTTGAATTGTTTATATGCATATGGCTTATCGTGTTGTGTCATATTTTGTTTCGTTGTGTTGTCTTGCATTGAGTTGAACTAGGTTGTGCATGAACATGCAGTATTGCATAGCGGGTTGGACCGGATTGGGACTTTTAGATTTGGAAATTGTTTTCAGTTGCAGAGCTTTAAACGCCAACAAAACACGTTGATAGATACGATCAATTCAACTATCTATTTTTACATAACAGTTGAATTTACATTTAATATTTATCCACAAAAGAAAAAAATATTTTACGCTTCACTTACTGGTTATAATAATTCAACTTTATGTATAACCGTCCGTGAAAACACGCACGATTACTATCATTCCAATGAATAAAATCTACTGCGGCTACGATAAGTTCCTTTAGTTTGTAATTAGATAGATAATAGTTTTGATTTAAGACCCAAATATGATTTGTATTCCATCTCGTTCAAAGTTTTTTCTTTGTGTGTTCCAGCTTTGTGCAGCGTCATCATCGCTGTAGATGTACAAGAATTTCTTCTTTTCTTCATTGGTTTTGGCGCATTGATCAAGTGCACTTTTTGTTCTTCGTACAAAATCTTGCCCACATCCAACTTCTGCGCTCTTCCAGCATGGGAATCATCTGGTTCCAAGGATGATGAAGGCAGGACATTCTTTCAATTCGTTACTCTCCCAGCCAAATACATCTCTTATCATGTTATCAAATTCCAGCAACATCTTCTGCTCGGAATGGCCTTCGTTAGAATCCTGAATATCAGGTGTTGTTCTTGCTCCGGCAACCCTCATATTTGATGTGAAATCTGGCCTTGGGTTATCTGGTGTGTCGATTTCTGGCCAAGGGTTCTGACCTGCCAGAGCAGGCATCCTTTCACTGGGTGCTCCGCCAAGTATTCGTTCCACATTTTTATTCGTGTAAATTATGCGATCGTCGGTTTTACGTTGGAAGTACAAATAAGCGACTTGTTTTTTCTCTCGTATCTCATTATCGACACGTCTTGCGCTTACAGTTGTAAAAATACGATGCGCAGTATCTCTGGGTTCTGGTATCCCAGATACTTTATTAAACACAATGAAACAAAACGCAACGAAAATAACTAGTAGCTGCGTTTTCGACATGTTGACTTTCTTATGACCAAGTGAGAAGATAAAATAAAATGAAAGACTTTCTTGTGGTTCTGTGTAAAGAAATGTTATGTCATAGATATAAACATATCATTGTGCTTGTGGTTCCTCTGTCATAAATACTATAGCACAACAAGATATCACCTTGCATTGTT